TGAATAAAACTGCTGACGACGGAGATTGTGAACATGAAAAATAGAAAGACAAAGAACATGATAGTGTAGACGGGTTCTAACATGTTTGATTGTATTGATTATTGTTTTTGGTGTACTCTCGTTATATTATACATTGTACAGTGACCTGAAGTATTCAAAATTATGAGTAAGAGCACACAATGACTCGACATGAATGAAACGCTATTATCATCATGATGTCGTCACTTCCGCTATTGCCATCACTTGATCAGCGATTCTGTGAAATATTATACTCCTTGTGTTCGCTGTGTAGTATATTTGATGTAGCCTCTGTTTCTTATAATCCATTTTTTTTTTTTGGGGGGGGGGGGAAGTCCGGTTTATAGCAAATCCTGGTTAAGGAGACCAGCAAGCAACATTCCTGACTGACCAACAATGGATGAACTCTTCCCTTGGGTATTCAGACATTCGGGTGCACGCACTCGGAACACATATGTACACACCTTGGAAAGTACCATAGCTTCGTGTCCTGTCCATTTTATGAAAGTCAACGTAGGTCTTCCGGCGTCACTACCGATGATAGCTCGTTTGTAATCGGCTGCAACGTTTGAAATACTGATCAGTATATATGATTACTAACTGATCCGCAAACTAAAAGCTGTAGCGATCTAAGTAACCGACATTTATAACATCGAGATTACACCAACGGAAAAGCGAGGAATACCTACAAACCTATAAACTATCGACGAATCTTGGCTCGGGAGTGATTTTCTGCGACCCACAGAACACTCCACAGGACCTGAACAACTCGATAAAAACTGCGTATTTTCATCACAGAATATAAGCAAATCTCGCAAAAAAATGTGGCCACGTTAAAAAATGCATGTGCTTTTCGTCACGCGTGAGTATAATCCCTCATAAGTAATCAAATATATATAGTAAAATCAACGTAGGAGACCATGGCAAACGTGATAAATTATCAAAGGCCCAATAGCTTCATGGACACTTTTGAAAAGGTATATTTGCAGCTCATAAAAAAATAACGATAGGAACACAAAAATTATGCTTGGATACAGGTTTTACGACAGGAAGGTGAAACATATAACTTGAGGAAGATTAAATAGTAATCTGTAGGCCTACAATCGCGAACACCAAAGCACTACATCTCGGCGTCAAGGTCAGAGTCAGAGTTCAGTATTAATGTTTTTTATTAATATGTATTAATATGTTATTTTCCCGGAAGTAAAGACTTTAGAATAGA